TTCTTTTTATTTTTTACTTTTCTGTTTATCAGTGAATAGTTTACTTTCGCTTCACATTGTGCAATCCCTCCATTCGAATTTACTTTTGTGCGGAAACATTTCTTTTAAAAACCGTTGAAATTCCTTATGGATTCTTCCTTGATTCGTATGATTTGAACTTGTACGATCGTTAATGCTTAAAAATTTTGGCATTTGTGATCGCTGACGAAGTTGGTCAAAAAATTGCTTCACTTTTTGAAAACTATTTGTAAGCACTAGATTACAAAAATCTTCTCCATCAGAGGCACAAGCACTTTTCATTCGCCGTTGTTCGACACACACGTTCGATTGTTCAATTAAATACTGAGATATGAAATAGGTTGGATGAACATCATTCATGTCGCGAAATCGGTGCGACGATTGGTCACGATGAATATCGGTGAATTTCGAGAGCCAAACTTCTTCGGCAATCGATTTTCTGATTGGATGTGGAGCATGCGGAAGAAAGCGCCGATCACTTCTATTTGCATTTGCATTTGCACTAGGTGCTAGATTGTCAAGTAGAAAATTTGTATTCAGCATTGCTTTCTTATGAATATTTAATCTAATATTAGTATTCGATGTTAAACGATCGTCACTGTAAATAACTGGACATTTTCCATCGACGAAAAAATCCTCGATCGAAACTGGACGTCCAAGTATATAATCATCGTTAAAATAAAGATAAAACTCTTTCAAATTTGGTATTTTGTGAAGATTAGCTTCGATAGCATGAGAATTAAATGTTGGAAGGTATCTATAGTCTATGATATCTTTCGTTAAGATCACGCGAAGTTGTGATTGTGACTTTGAAATATTTAACCAATTAGGTATCTGATCAGTTACAATATAGATGTGTCCATGAAATGAAGGCATAAATTTTTCAATACTTCTTAATGAAAAGCATAACTCGTTGTTGTCTTTCGATAAACTGGATGAAATACTACGACTTTTTTGGAGACGAACACTACCCAAAAGTGGTTGGTAAATAGAAAACCAATAATCTTTCTCTCGAATATACTCTTCATTACTGCCGTTGACATAAGTATAAACAATATCGAATAGAAAATCATCATATCCCATCAACGATGACGAAGATGAAGAACTTGGTCTCAATAGCCAATTTGTAGCGTTTTGAAAGACGACAATAATAAAGAGAACGCCGATTAAAGAAATTTTGAAGATGTTACCAAATAGCTACGAATAAAACGAAAGTCAAAGTTGATTATGATTTCTCTTTTGTTTGTTTTATCTAAAGGACCTACACAAAGAATGTACTAATTTATCTTCACATTGACAAAATTTGAAGATCAGACCTATTAGCAAAAGGGACTTTATGACAATAATCTTTTTATGTTTTCAGCAACATCAGCTCATGAAATATTACAGTTTCTAGTGCAAAACAAGAGACGATGGTTTTGGAAAGAAGTGTAAATAAGGAAGATCGTTTTACATTTAAGACTTTGATGAAAATTTTAATAAATTCTCGAAAGAAAATGAAACTTGTACAGTTTTTTTTTAATTTTAGCAAAACTTATCCCGAATATAATCATACATCTCATGGAAGATGTTTCACTATGGATTAGATAGTTTTTAAACAAACTCAATTATGTGTTTTTGAACATTCACTTCTTCAGATTTCAACAGCAGCACCAAAACGCGGTATTGTAGATTAGCGTGTCATTAGAGAAATTTCAGATTATCTTTTAAAATATAAGGTCTACTATTGCAGAAAATAGAATGTGATTTAAAGCGATGGTTTTAGTACAAAATGACTTGGATATTTTCCTTTAAGAAAACACTTCAAGAAAAATAATTGATAACAATAAGCGATGAGTCAGCCTTCACTCAGTGAGATACTTTACTTACCATTGTTTCTTTACCTAAAATAATATTTAACATCATTGTGATGGATACATATCCATGTTTTTTTCAAACGCTAATCCTTTGAAGGCCATCAATTGGTACTTGTCAATAGAATGCATCGTTTCAGGCTCAGATAAAATCAGAACATTAGTGATCAAAAAGGAAAATGTAAATATCGCATCTCCATGGCAACTGGTTTCGGTACCGCTACTTTCTACGGAAGAAAGAGTAGATTATGGCGCTACCAAGACCAGTTGCCATGGAGATACAGATCCCCAAGAAAGTGAACAACTGTTCAATTGCCGCCAGGTCGAAACATTATAGATTTTGTATAACAGAGTCTCTAGCTTTCGACAATTAACAATAGAAGGAATGTTACGTTTAAGAAGTGCAAATACTAGAAAAAATGATTTTAAAATTCGAGGCTTAGTAAGGATAAAATGTTTTCTTTCTGTAGATGTATAGAACGCTTTGAAAATTGCGTACAAAGATATTGTTCGCATTAAAACCATTTTTAAAAAGTTTCCATCGTCAATATTACGCTTAAAGGTGCATGAATTTCAATCTATTAGTTATTACATTTTAAATCCTACTTACAACAGTCTGAAAATTTGAAGAAATTACATTTCGGAGAATTTTCTATGAGTTCTTCTTCTTAGATAGGTGAGAAAAACTTTTCAAATTTAGAATTCTTTGATTTTTAACCACTTTTTGTGAAATTCGACCTCTAAAACCCGTGTTCTTTATTTTCGTTGTGCTAAGGACCAGAGGAATTGTTACGCGAACTGCAGCGTTTTGGCTGAAGAGCAATTGAAGAGTTGGTAAATATTCATTTTAAAAATCTTGAGCTTAGACTTACTTGTTCTGTGAAAGGCGTCGTTGCTGGTTTAAATTGTTTGATATTGTAAACTGCTAGGAAATTATACTTTGCCTACTTTAACAAAACCAATCTCTTATATAGTGTTTCGAAAACAGAATCTGATACGTGCTGTATTGATTTTATGTTTCACTTCACGTCGAGTGCGTCGCATGTATTTATTCAGTCCCTTTAGAAATACGTTTTATTTATTTAGTTCTTTCTGAAGTTATTTCTATTTAATCAGTTCTGTCGAGCTGTATGTATAATATATGCAATTTTCATGATTACTCTTCTCAAATATATACATTTTTTGAGTGTTATTTGAGAAAGAAGAACTAAACACTTACTCTTGTTCTGAGATCTGTTTTTCAGTCAATAACGACTTATACATAGAGCAAACAGATTTCTGCGGAGTAACTAGCTAATATTCAAGGTCTTTCACGATATTTCGACATATTCGATGTTCGTTGTGTTCAAGCACGACTGTATTCAAGTGTAATTAGTGCACAACTCGATAAGAATGCACTACTCGATGCTCATTATTGGTGGTGTGGATGATAATGTGGATATTCTCTTCACATACACCAACATTCACACGCTTCGTGAATGTTGTCGAGCAAGACACTTTCTATTTTCAGATAATTGACCATCAAAACGAACAGCAAATGATGAATCTTTATAAAAAAAATAATTTGACGAACTAGAGATGAGAGATCATCTAATGAAAGAGGTTTTATTTCAGTAATAATATGTTTTTCATCACTTAATGANTCAACAGAAGGAAAAGAAAGAAGAAATGTACCATTATGGTACCATCTAACAAACGATAAGAAGCTTTTCTAAACGGTTAAAACATATACTACTACGGCTCTTATCCGATAAATACATTTGAACACATATATGTGTTGCCGGGAGCGAAAGGGTTAATAAGATTTTTTTCAATTATTAGCCCAATAGATTTAATTTCATTCTTTTTTATACTTCTTTGTTTTGTCTTGGATACTTCCTGCATTCAGTCATGTATATTTTTCTCACTCGAGCATATTCATGATATTATTTCTGGCTTTCTAATATATTCCGCTGATTATTGTGCAGAAACATCCTTCTCATGGAAATTATTTTTTTTTTCTTCTCATTAAGGCAAGATAAGATCAGTATAAACAAATGTGAAATATTCTAGCGTAAAGAACAAGAAATGAGTTCGCCACTTTAGTTAGTGTTATGTTTCTTATCTTTCCATTACTTTGTCTTATTCAATTTAGTTATGTAAACAATCAGTCGAGCATCATCAACTATATCAAATTTATCTTTTTTTCTATCAACAATGCTGATGAATTGATATTTGAGTTTTATTTCGATCATATAATCAACACTAGAGAATAATTAAATAAAAATAGTTGATATCGTCAAAGCAAATCTCTGAATAAATTATTGTTAAGTAAATGCAAAAGTATAATGAAAATTGTGCACATGTCAGTTATTTATCCATACATTATTATTTCCTATTATATTAAAATAAACGAGTCTTATACGGTAAAGAGACAATTCAATAATTGAGAACTAGTCAAAACTATACTCCAAACATAAAATCAAATTCACACTTGTATCCTCTTGAAGAACATTCCAACACACTCTTAGCACTGTCTTTTTTTTGCTTCCAATTCATTCTTCGACGATGCATTGCGGTAAAATAAAAGAAAGGGTCAATAAGAGAGCGCAACAGAAAAGAAAAAAAAAACAAATGCTCCAATCAAAAACAAAGAAACCCGTCGAATGTTGATCAACTAGAGCAAATAGAATTCTTCTGTGTAATCAATGTACTCAACGACAACAAATTACCCTAACAGGCCTTCTACAACCATAGTACATAATTGACGCATACATAGATTGTATTTGTTACATATGTTGTCTTATAAAGTAGTCTGCAATTGTATACTTTCATTTTCGAATCCTTCATATTATATAATAAAGCAATTTCACAAAGAGATTTCTTATAAAATTTCAACTTCATCTTGAAATTGAGAATTACAAATGTTTCATTTTATTATATTATTTATTTATTGAAATAAATATTATCCACGCTACATGTAATTCTACGCAAAAGGAACACTACAATGAGACGATATTAAGAGAAAAAAAAAGAAAACCATAATGAATATATACTAAGTAATTAAATGACATTTGATGCCTAGAATTAAAATCGATCATCATTGCATCAACGTCTATAATTAGTAGTAAAGTCTTTTTTTTTTCTTTTTTAATGTGGTATATAATGCATTGTAAAGAAGTCATTTTGAATACACAAGAATTTGTTTAATGCTAATACAGCAGCCTTTTTTGTATTATCATCTAAACCAAGATCATTACTCAAAAGAGCATTAACAATAAGATTTTGGGCATATCCAAGTGTTGCATTCATGTAAACATAGTTTACATCAATATTTTTAGATTCAGCCTTATTGGCATGTACTTTACCAAGATTTGATAGATATTCGAGAAATCCCTTGTCCCATTCGGTTTGTGTTAAAACTTTTTTCAAGTATGTGGCCAACATATCACTAAGAAAAGTAACACGTTCTGGAGTTAAATCGAGACCACCAGGAGTTGCCGTGGCATTGCCTTGAAAATGCACCTTGTGAGTGGCAAATACGGTCTTGGTAGCATCAAATGAGAATAAATTTTTATAAATTGCATCGACTACTGTTGGTACAAGTGGTACAAGGGCTGGTGCAACTTTATTGAGCACACTAATATCATCTTTTGTGAAATGAAGAAATTTTGCGAGAAAATTGTATCGATATTGAACATCTGTATTCATTTTACCAGCATCAATGGCTTCCATGATAAATTTTGTTGTTGATAACTAGTTTGTTCAAGTAAAAAATGTAAGATGTTCTGAAACAATAGATAAAACATTAGATGGACTTATTCTTCGAAAATTATAACATAAAATGTTTTTTTTTTTAAATAAAATTATTCTTAACTGATGCAAAGAAAATAGTACCTACGACTGTGATGTTTAAGAAATGAAAGACATATGTCTCGTATGCATATAACTGAGTTACCTGGATTCTGACTAGTCAAGCACAATAATATAAAAAAAAACACTCCTCAATACTTGAAAAACTAATGCATGAATGCATCGAGGGCTATAATATTCATGTGTGCACACTTTCTTCTAGCTACTTAGACATACATGAATGCACAGCAAATAATGGATGTGCACTCAAGTGTTACTTCGTATGAAAGCATGCAAATATTTTTTTTTTTTCTGTGCATTAGTCTACCGTCAGAGAGAATGTTGTACACAAAAATCGAATATTTTGGGTACTTTTTTCTCATGAAAACGGAGGTCACGATGCATTTCAATGATAATTTCATTGAGGTTTGCTTCGCAACTAACTAGGTAAACCACTATTATGCTAAACAGATATTCAGTATGTCTGTACATTGCCATACCGAGGCCTATAGCTATTATATACAAACGTTAAAAGCATATATTTATATGCATGGAGACTGTGTAACGATTAATGATATGACAAATATTACTCTAGGTGGAGTAACACTATTTTCTTCTTTCATATCATTAATCGTGCCATTTTCATACAAAACAGATGTTTATATACCCGAGCAAGAGAGAGAGAGAGAAAGAGATGCAAAGAAAAAGATAAAGAAAGAGAAAAAATGCAATTAGAAAGAAGGGCAAATATACGGGTATCGTAAGGGCAAGCGATGAAATGATTGACAATACACATATGCTTACGAGAAAAGAAAAGAAAAACATATGGCGATAAGAAATGGCATAGAAAGGTTAGCATATTGTGTATGAAAACTCAATATGTCCATGAGATGACATTATTAAGAAACACAATGTACCCATTCAAGAACATCAAACAGACAAATAGGAGCAGACCATTTTATTTAACGACATATCATTATAAACATTAATGAAGTTGAATGACTTTACCTAACATGTAAAACGACATGCTAAGTTTTTCCTATTAGAAATCTTAATGCATCAATACGAATGACAAATTGATTCATTAACAGTTAATTATTGATATGAAATGTCAATTAATAGCATTAAATTTAGTTATAAATTAATGTAAATGATCTAACGCTACAGATAAATACATATGAATGAATTGATGTGCACTTTGCACCATTGTTTCTAATGTGCATTTCAAGAATATTTTCAGTGTCTTTTAATGAATTTACATGAAACTTTTTTCTTGTGTTCATTTTAAACTTCATCAAAACAATTGTTTCTTTCTCGATTTACGAATTTTATAAGTTAAAAAACAAAAAAAAGTATAAAAATTGGCAGCATCTGTGAACAAATAGATTGTCTTTTCTCTCTTATGAAGACATTTGCTTTCACATTTTTTTTTTCATAAACTGCTCTACAAAAAAGTACGACTCCTACAATATGGATTCGATTCTGCTCTGAAAATTAAGTGTTTAAAAAAAAAAACCTTGAAGTTTGGACTTTGCTTAGCATCAAGATAGCGGATCGATTGAAATAGGTCATAGAAAGCAAAAGCATATGAAGGTGCAACACTCAATCAAAAAGATATTAACGAAATATGATTCGCTTCAGATAGCTAGTAAGTGATACGTGTGAATTAAGGCCGTTTAATTCTTTTTTTTTCTGATATTGAATTGTCAATAATTCGAGAAGAGTATCTAATTGAAAAAAAAGCCGACAAAAACAATCGATTTTTTTCTAATTAAAAATTGATTGAAATGGCATGATTTTAATTTGATTTTAGTAAGATTTTAATTACTATGATTATAAAACATGTTTTTTCTCTAGTTTAAACTTAGAAACTCTAAAATTTAATTATTTTTTTCTGACTCCTCACGTCGACAGCTGATGCATGTATTGCTAGTCAGAACTTTGATATACGACATTGATTCATACTTACTTGTGCAAGCCGAAATGCTGATAAATTAAATTAAAATCAGAAAAACTGAAAAAAAGATTGAATTAAAATCATGTTACTTTAATAGATTTTTAGCCAGAAAAAAAAATCGATTACAATCAGATTTTTTTATCGTTTATTCTTACATGGGTACATAGGCAGATGTGATGTGTGTGCCTTCGATTGATCGAGCCACATAAACACATCTTGTGTCTCAAGCGACATGTTTTTTTTTGTACATGGGTGGAACCTAGTACTCGTCGCGCTCGTCTGTTCATTTCATTTGGAAGCCTATCATTATTATTTTCAAATTTAATTACAATTGAGCTAATAATAATCTTTTTTTTTCTCACTCATTGAGCTCAGAATTGTCAATTCGATGTCTTCTATTAATTTTTCGAAAGTCCATTTTTTGCTTTACTTTATTAGAAAAAAGGCATATTGGGCACAGACAGGAGTGCAGCATGAGTTCTTTCGTGGCATTCACATCGAGCGAGATGTGTTTGCGAAATACTCAATGAATATCTTGTTTTCGACTTGACTATAAACGATTGATGGTTCTCTTTATCGATTTTTTTCTTGTGTATCGTTTAATTCAACCTAGATCGAATAATTTATTTGCTTGTTCTACTTAGGCAGCTGCCTGAATCAAGAAAAATAAATATTAACATTTTTGTGTTAGATTTGTTATGACCTTGTTTTTTTTTTTTTTCTATTTTGAAACTAAGATGAAAATGCATATTTGATCGGCATAACTAACTTATATTGATATTTGACTCGAAAAGTTGACGCATCTTGCTATAAAATCTGATGATGAAAGTCTCATTTTCAAATTTTAGTATTTCAGTTCAGATTTCTACATGTGAATATTCAATTCCTCATTCGCTACCATTTTATGTGGACAGATGCTTTTATGATCGATTATTTTCGTCCGTTTGGCTGTAAAATCTGTTCGGTTCCAATTCCCCAAGTAAAAAAAAAATCTTAGACGAATAGTCAGATTAAAATTGATTAAAAATCCATTAAAATCATACATCTTTAATCGATTACAATAAAAAAAAATCCAAAAACCAAAATTTCATCGATTATTCCTATTATTTTTCATTATAATCGATGCAAATGTAAAAATATTGATTCAGGATATTGATTCTTATCTTGAAGAAAAATCGACTAAAATTAATATTTTTCACACAACTTTTCATCGTTTATAATCGAGCATAGTATGAATAATCGATGAAATTTTGGTTTTTGGATTATTTTTTTATTATAATCTGATTATTCGTCCAAGTTTTTTTTTTTTTACATGGGTCTGTGTAACACCGCCATATTATGAACTCCAATGGAGTGTATAAATTGGTGAGGTTCTTTCGTAAGCTTAGTTTTCGCTATCGAAGAAGGTGAAGATAAAAATTTTATAAATCCTAGTGGTCAATGGGACTTCATAGGGATGACTTTTGGATAAGGTAGACATATTTTAATCAGGATAACATGACTTTCTCTTTTTTTTCATAAATATATAGATCAATTGTAATATTTACAAATAAAAACAAAATTATTTTGTATATTAATTTATTTTGGTTGCAAAGCTACATACTTGTGAGAAATTTTACCTTTCTAAGACTGTGAGAATTAGTATCGTATATTTTTCAGATCCATTTCCATAATAGCATCTAAAATCTCGACGCGAGTGCTTTACATTTAATAATTTTCTTATTATATTCACTAAATACAGCTGACATTCAATATGTGTATAAGAAATACACTTTCATAAGTTTCTTCGATATTACTAAAACGTGTCCTGAACAGAAAAATAAAGTACAACTACAAATTATTACCGATCACACGAGAAATCGAGCATTCGGATGTAACGGCTCATACGATCGATGATGATCAACTACGAGCTGTGTTCTAAGATGCATTTTAGAAAATAGAATGGTTCGATCTTTTTACAAGACAGTCGTCACTGAAGGATTATAAACAAATTTTTTTATGTGCGTGCATGTTCAGTAATAGTGCTCAACACAGAATGCAGCAAGCGATAAAAGTTGCTGATTAGATCGAATTCAGTCGAGTGTGATGTGAATACTGGCGACGAGTGTTAACTGTTATTCGATATATTTTTTTAAATCTAGGTTAGTTCATGTTACTGACATTCGATTATTGCTGTTTATGTCACTATTCACTTGTTTGCAATTTACTTTTACCGAAGAATATTGAATGCTGATAATAATAATTTGTTTATTACTATCGATGTGGAACTCGATAATCGGCTTAAACGACAAGAAGTATGATAGAATGCGGTTGATAGATTAAATCCGATAGAATAACTTTGAAACCGTTTTACATGTGGTGATTACAGAGGACGTGGCTAAGAAAGGAACAATCCTATGTGTCACGCGAAAGTTCAAAGAAAATATATATTAGTTTGTAGAATTCGACCAGCATAGTTCATAGTATAAAGTGTTGGTCCTCATACCTATTCGTAATGCAACACTGTTTGAAAAAAATTGAATCTCAACAAAATTATTGTTTTAAATGGTTGAATTTTACTCATCTAATATATTACAGTGAATCGTGCATATTTTCTTATGTTAAATGGAATCAAATTAGCTGAGTAAGTCTTTCTTTGATATCCATCAATATACTACTAATGCTTATCAACTAGATCGAAATTGATCATGGTAGCTTGTACTCAACTTTCAAGAAGCGTAATTCTTATATTATTCATATTTTATCTTTCATTATAATATATATATGTCGGAGTTGACATTAAAATTCAGTTGCCTTTAAAAGGCAACTAGTTCAGTTTAAAATTTTATTGTCAACTGGGTGACATTAAAATGAAAGAGTCAACTAGGATGGAGCTAGTTGACTTTGAAATTTCAGAGTCAACTAGTTGATTTTAAAATGTAGATAT